GAGCGCCGCCGTTTTTGAGATATCTGCGAAAAACCGCAGGGGGGGGGGTGGTGTTCAAACACCCCCCCCCCGGCCCGGCGCGGGTTAACCCGCGCCCCACTGGGGTCTGCGTATAACACGCCCTACTGGGGGGGGGGGGGCTATTCATAGCCCCCCTCCTAACTCCGAAACTACTGGGCCGATCGTCAAAATTCAAACGGCGTCTGATAGCCCCGGAAAAACTGTCGAGCGAAACCTAATTTCATTGACCTCGAGGTCACCGATGACGTCACAGGTCAGGTCAAAGTAAAATTTATTAGCATTTTGGCTTCTTCACGTTTTGGGCTCTGGCCGCCGTCTTACAAGTCAGATCAGGCTCATTTTTGGTTCACACACTCGTGAACAGATGCTCTAGATACTCTGAGGGTACCAAACTTGTACTTTGATTTTCAGGTCAAGGTCAGGTCATCACAGGTCACGAAAATATTATATCATCCGTCGGTCACGTGACACATGATTTATGGTCCATTTAGGCCAAACATTTCGAATTTGATGTCGTCTGTGTCATTCGAGGTCATTTTGAGTCAAATTTAGCTCAGGTCAGGTCACTTTCAGGTCAAAAAAGGTCAAATTTTGAAGTTAAAATTTTTCAACAAAAAATGTGTCTATTGGATGCAGTTTGAGCTCAGGAACACGATGGTGCTATTTATATTGGCGTACGATGACAAATTCGTGCTGAAAAATTGATTTGAAAAATTAATAATTGTTAATTTTTTGCAATAATGCGTATAACTTGGCCATTTTTGAAGATATTTAGCTAAAACTTGCTAGAGTTAGTCATAATAATGCGTTCTATCACATATATTCCGGTTTTTTCGTAAAGTCAAAAAGTTTTTGAAAAAATGTAAAAATATAAATTTTGAATTTTATTATATAAAATTTTCGAAATTTTCAAAATTTCGAAAATCCGAGATAGCAGTTTGATAGCGCAGTCTATTCTGAGTCCTCTCATGCAAAGAAATTGGATCTAGCTTAAAAACTGAGCTCTTGGGAGCGATTGCCGTGGTTCAATGTTTTGCGTCGAAATCGGCCGAACATGACGTCACTCTGACGTCATTTCCGGCCGACCTATGGTAGGTACGAGGTTCAAATTTTGACACAAGGTGTCAAATTGATGCAGCCGAAGGTACTGAAAGTTTGGCGTCGATACGTCAAGCGGTTTGGAAGTTATTGCAGAAAAACGGGAGGGGGGGCTATAAATAGCCCCCCCCCCCAGTGGGGCGCGGGTTAATGGTGTGGTAATGGTGTGGGGACCCTCAGTGGTGTCCTTGTGGGCCCTCAGAACCACTGGTGTGGGGCCCTCAGAGGCGCCGGTGTGAACCTCAGAGGTACTGCTGAGGGTCCTCACGGTCTCCGTTATGGGGATTCTCAAAAGCCGAAGTGGGCCCTGAAGGAGATCTTAGTGTGGCTACTTAGGGGTCCATGAGGTGCTCTTACGAGATCTGTGAGGTCTTTCTGAGTCAAAATGTAGCCAGCGTGAACCCTCAGCGGCCAATTGGTGCCGCAGGGCCCTTTGTGGCCGTTGTGGGCTCTCAGAAGCACCGGTGAGGGGCCTCACAGTCGTCGTATTGGGCCGTCAGAGGAATTAGCGTGAGACCGTCACAGGTGGGTGTGAGGCCCCTCTTCGGCCGGCAAGATTCTCAGAGGCAGGTAAGGGCCGTCAGAGGCCGGTAAAGGGCCTTCAGAGACCGCCAAGGGGCCCTCAGAGGCCGCAAGTAGCCTTCAGAAGCCGGCGTGTAACCCTCATGGATAAATTATTGTGACTTCTTTGGGACTCATGAGGTGCTCTTCCGAGCCCTATGGGGCCCTTCTGAATCGAACTATGGCCAGCATGGACCCTGAGCGGTAAACTGGTCCGCAGAGCCCCTCCGACCCGAGGGGTCCTCTGAATCCGATGAGGGGGGGGGGGGGACATGTGCCTCCTGGGATCCCCGACTACGCCACTGTTTCATATGCGTCATGTCTGGTATTTTGGGCTTCCCCCCAACTTGAAAATCGTTCCTGGGTCCCTGTATGCTAGTGATTTTGTGAAGCTTTCGCCGGCTTAAACCCGCATCACTACTAGTGGTGTCAATTTCAGAAAACGTATGTCCAAAGTCCGTCCAATGTCCAATGCTTACGTTGATTGTCCGTCCAAAAATGTCCAAGCCAGCCATTTGTCCAAAGATGTCCGACACCTACGCCATAGTTTACACTCAACACTTATCGGGGTTACATGAGCACAGTAAATACGTATTTATCCGCTAATTCGAATTAGGAACGCATTACCGACTCATGTAGCCACCTGCTAGTACGAATCGGCGATCCGATCCGCGGTTACATGAGCAAAGCAAATACGTATCACGATCGGATTCACCGCTAATGCGAATCAGGAGCGTACTACCGACTCATGTATCCACTTGCTAATACGAATCGGCGGTCCGAACAAAATCCGCAGGGAAAGAGGCTTAGAAGCGAATAGGACCAAGATACGTATTACAGGAACTATTTCTTTCCAAAAAGAAACATTAAAATGCAAAATAATAGGTATTTTTTCATCTGCTTCTTTTGAAATAATAATAAAAAATATGTCGGTATTTTGTCAAGTTTTCAAAAATAAATATAGTGAAAACCAAAAAGAAAATATCAAAGTACTTTCAGTTGAAACATTTTTCTGACAGCACTACAGACGAATCAAGAGAGGCAAGTGCTCAATGAGTCAAATCAAGACAACTTTATGTTTAACTTTTTTTTTGTTAAGTTAATTGAGAATGTTTTGAGCAGATTAAATGCAAAAAAGACATAAGATATTAGGTAAGTTTTTAATTCAGTCACCTCTATTGCTACGGAAGTGCGCCACATTTGTATGCTATTCCGTTTGTAATGCGCATCGGGCCGAGAGCCAAACTAGATCCGTTTGACGTCACTGATACGAATTTGCTCATGTAGTCGGTGCACTGAATGCGTTCTTGGGGAGCTGATGCGAATTAGCGTAGTGCGTATTTGGAACGGATCGCTCATGTAACGAGGCACACGATTCGGGCCGTATTTCACAAGAACTATTCTTTGCTGACTGGAAGCGTCAAAATGCAAAATATTAAGCATTTTTATTGGCTGCCTCGTAGAAAATAGCAAAAAAAATGTTGGTATTTTGGTTTAGTCTTTGCATGTGAAATAAAATGAATTAAATATTTTGATAGATAATTTTTTTTTCTGACCACCCTGCTGTCGCTGCATGGCGAATCAGTGCCCACTGACTTAAAACAAGAAAACTTTGTTTTCATTTTTTGATTTCATGTTAATTTTAAATGTTTTTGAGCCTATCAAATGATATAAGTATTTAAAATTTAGTTCAGTCGTCCCGGTAAATGCCGCAACTGCGCCATGACTGTACGGTAATCCTATTCTGTTTGTGATACGAATTACCGGCCGTCGAGGAGTCAGCCCGGGTGAGCCAAACAAGATCCGTTTGACGTAGATAAAACGAATTAGTCTCATGTAACCGGTGCCGTAGATACGTTTGTGGGGAGCTGATGCGCATTAGCGTAGTGCGTATTTGGAACGGATCGCTCATGTAACCCCGGTAACTGTTATTTAATCTGCTTTTCATGTACCGTTACAAGCTCAAAAGTGTTAATCATATCGAAAGCTGAGCTTTCTAATAGCCAATCAATGTTAAACACGACTACTTTTTAATAATGTTGAGGTGTAGCAAGCGATTGTCCAAAGTTATCCAAAGCCTGCTGCCATTGTCCAACCGAATTCCGAATTGGACATTGGACAAAATCGGAATTCCGAAGATTCAAGTTCCGATTGACACCACTAATCACTACCGTCCTCTTGTGGTGACGCCACGTTTCGTTAGCGCCGTGCAGAGGCCCCAGCGCCGTCTGCATCACTATCAGTTACATACCTTGCCGCTAGGTGATGCGGTGACACTGCAGCGGCAGAGCACTCTTGGCCCGCTACATAGCATGTCACCAGCAGCCGCGTCTTTGTCCTTGGTGTGTGGTTTCAGTAGCTGGATGGGGTAGTATCCGTCTGCTGATCCGGCAGTTATCGGACCCACCCTCTCCGAGCTGCGTGTCGCCACTCGCCACCCCCTCCGGACGCGGACGAGCAGCGGTCAGCGGCAGCGGTAGCGCCGCGAGCCGGCTAGGGTCGGAGGGAAACGCAGCCAGGCCGCCAGGGCAAACTCAGTGCTCAGTTGTGAATGCTGCCTTCTGCCCTGAATTTTCAGGTCATTGCTGGCAATAGCCGATTTTTGCACGGCGAGACAACATAACGACTTTGTGCTTGGATAATGGATATGGTCGACTGCCATTATAGGTATCGACCGCATTTAGATCATCAGGTTCCCGTTGGCCGTTTACCGGGAATGGACACACGTTCTTTTGGCCTGGTTTGGTACGTGCTACACTGCAGTTCCTATGAGTAACCGGTAAACCGCTCTGTTTAGCAAGAGGCAATGCAAAATAATCGTTTACACAGAAGCAATGCAAAATAATGCTGGAGTTTAGTCTCGACGTGTGGCTCACTGTCCAACTATTACACCAACTATCGTATCTGGACGGTCCTTTGCTGGACGGGTTCAGATTCCCCGGTATCTGTATGTGCCCGAGTAGTAGATACGCCACTGCGTGGGAGTTAACACTGGCACCTGTGATGTGATAAGTATGTGCCACCCCGTTCAAGCAGCGCCGCGCCGCCCCGTTCCCACGGCTGTTCGGCCACGCGCGCGGAGCTGTGCGGAGCGCGTCCGTCCGCTGCCTTTTATGTATTGTAGGCACATCTTCACAGGGGGCGATACATCGAGCGACTTACGAGGGCATGTTCTCACGAACGGGCGTTTTTTAGTCACTGAGAACTGAAAATGGTTTTCGTCGGAGGGCGTTGGAAACGGATAGCTATCTATGGCGTGCATCAGAACTTAGATAGACTTTCGTGCAGATCTCGTTGGAGCGCTTATATAGGCACATGCGTATCCGCTTTTTATGTTTATTTACAATAAATATGAAAGTGTAAGTCATGCGTAATCACTCAAGTTATCATGGAACACTGTTTCGATCGCCTATGAAATACAACAAGTTATTACCGCCAACACAACTTGGGAAAATAAGGGAGAAGATGTAGCTTAGTAAACATTATTGGAATTCAGTCTATTATGCATGCTTAGAGGTAACCATTTAGCCCCATAGAAACAAAAGGTGACGGTGTCCGATTGCAATGAAAAAATGTAGTCAGACATACTGTACCTATGGAAATGGATGAAGAGCTTCTATTGGCTTAGTATCTTTACCTTTCGATGAAAATGATCGGTTCTACACACCTATCACCAAACGATCAATCACACCTTGACCTCATACAATCTCAATGCCACCAAGTTGCCACTTCCGCACACATACACCACTATTTCGACCACTTTCCGACAGGACGGTCAGAAACCTCACCTGACAGGACGGTCAGAAACCTCACCTGACGGGACGGTCAGAAACCTCACCTGACGGGACGGTCAGAAGCAGGACCTGACAGGACGGTCAGAAGCAGGACCTTACGGGACGGTCGGGACCTCATCCAGAAGTCTCGATCCGTCCTTCGTTACATATAGCATGCCTCCTACGACTGGACACCGTGACCAAACAGATATACACTTCTCCGACGCCGTAACAACTCATCCTTCGCAAAACTCGAACGAACGAATGAACAGCTCTTCATAAATCCAGGCCCAAGCTGCTCAGTGCACATGACGTCTGCCTCCTCAACAAACCCCGCTTCAACAAACACTAAGTTCTTCATAAATCCAGGCCCTAGCTGCACGTGACGCCTACGATGTCTTCTCGTATCTGTTTCCGATCCTCGGTTCGGACATGTCTCAGTCTCGTTAGGATGTGGCTCAGTTCGGCTATGCCTCAGTCTCGTACTCGATCTGGCTCAGATCGGTCCTGTCTCATCCTACCGGCCGGAGCGCGCCGGCCCGTTCTGTCTCAATGTCTCACCGTGTCTCTGTGTATCACAAGAGGCGAGAGAGGCACGTGGTCTATCAGTAAGGCAGCAAAAGATCACATTGACATTTCTCACCGAATCCGCACATGTTTTCGCTCGGTTCGGCACCACCTCAATCCTGAAAATGGTCCACATATGGCCCATCCAAGCACTGCGCTACCTGTCTTTGTTGGCGGCTGACGCCATTGTCGCCTGATTTAGCGACAATTATCTACCTTGCCAAGTTAAAAACATTTAAACATCACCTCTCCACCAGCTCCCATGTGCTGATCCCTGCCATCCGGGCGGCTGCGACTGAGGCGTTCGTCGGTCACGATCCGCACGATGGCAGGCGGCCTGCCCTGACGCACGGCGCGCCCGTTCCCCGTCGGTGGGACTACTCGTTCCGGTCCCGCGGCATACACTGCATGGCCCCGGGACACGTCTCTGAGTAGGCGCAGTGCTTCTTCATCACACAGACCTCGTGTCCGCGACAGTGATGGCAGGTCGGGTAGCTCCCTGAAACCGAGCAGCGGTCACCCAGTCAGACAGCGGTCACCGAGTCAGACAGCGGTCACCGAGTCAGACAGCGGTCACCGAGTCAGACGGTGATTACCCAATACCCAGTCAGACATGGTAGTCAGTAGTCACCCAGTCCGACAGCGACTACCCAGTCAGACAGTGGTTAACTGGTCACCCAGTCAGACAGCGACTACCCAGTCAGACAGTGATTACCCAGGCAGACAGTGGTTAACTGGTCAACCAGTCGAGACAGCGGTCACCGAGTCAGACAGTGGTTAACCCTAGCCCGCACATGCCATTTTCCCATCCTAGAACGCACATAGTGGGGGGGGGGGTTGCCACCCCCCGCGCCATTTCGTTCCTGATGGAGATAGAGCTTCGCGGTAAAGACCAAAAAGATTCTTTGGGAAGAGACAAATCCAATGATACCCAGTTTTACCTTCTCAGGTCAGTCATTGACCTTCCAGGTCAGGTCAAACTAAAAAATGTTGCTGTTTTGGGTCACCGTTGGATACCAAGTGCGCTGCTTATCATATACCGATGACGATGCCGTTTTCTGGTGCCAAGCCAGCTAGAACCTCTTTGTAACACTAATTTTGCTGCTGAGGTCATTTCAGGTCAAGTTAGGTCAAGGTCAATTATATATATATGTGTATGTATGTCTATATAAGACATACATACACATATGTGTTTCGTATTTTCATATAAGACACATATGTGTCTTATATGTGTTTGTATGTCTGTGTGTGTGTCTGTGTGTATACTGATGTGTGCACCGATTGTTTATTTATGTGTCCATATTACATGAACTGATGCTCTGAGAAGCTTTTACCAAAAATGCAGTCAAAAAACTTCACGAAAAGTAAATTCAGCTTGCCTAAAACGCAATTATTTTAGATGACCTAGGTTGACCTTGACCCTGACCTTGACATCTGTACATCGTCGAACAACATGTTCCATGATAGGTGGGAGGTAAGACTGGCAAAAAAGGCCGAAATCAAGGTGTCAAAAGCTCACAAGGCCCATGGCCAACGCAAGATGTTGAGAATTGGTCATTTGGGTCATGACATGACCTGAAAAACAAGGTCATATCTCCGAAACCAAAAACCACAGAAACTTGAAATTTTCAGGGTACATCAAGAAAGGATAGAGGAACAGCTATACGAAAAATCAGCCTTCTAGCTCTAAAAATGTTGAGTGCAGAGCAAAAAGACTACCGGGGGGGTGGCAACCCCCCCCCCATGTGCGGGCGAGGGTTAAATGATCTGATAGGGGACACCGGGTCCGGTACTCACTGGGGGCACACTTGGTCCGGCACTCACTGGGGAGGGGACACGCTCGGCCTGACACTCACTGGATACACTCGTTATGTACTCACTGGAGACGCACTCGGCGAGCCGTTTTGTGTAGGCGCAGCTGTGGCGGCCGCGCGCGCAGGCCAGCACGACCTGACACCGCTGGTGACCGGAGCAGCTGAAGGCGGCGCACGGGTCGCCAGAGCCGGCTGGCGGCGCCGCGTCGGCCGAGGGCGAGTCGGACGTCCTCCGCAGGATACCGTCGGCGGACACTGTCAGCGGACAAGGACACAGACAGGGGACACTGTCAGCGGACAGGGACAGGTGTCAGCGGACACTGTCAGTGGACAGAGACACTGTCAGTGGACAGGGACACCGTCAGCGGTCACTCTCAGCGGACAGGGACACCGTCAGAGGACTCTGTCAAAGGACACTGGCGAGCAGGCCCAGGGACAGCAGACAGGAACACTGACGTTCACGTCGACAGGGACACGGCACCGTCAGGGGACAGAGATCGGCGAACACTGGCACCGTGGCGAACACGTTTAAATGCTCACAAGCAAGTTTATCTGAGTTATAGCCTGGGTTGAATGCTGTCTTAACCCGCGCCCCGTAGGGCTACCGGCGGACCCTACCACCCGTAGGGGGGGGGCCGTTTCGGCCCCCCCCCCTAAGATCTCGGAAAGTTACCGGCCGATTTTCAAAATTCAAACGGCGTTCGATAGCCCCACCCGGGAACTACCTTGTGACCAAATTTCATTGACCTAGGTCAAACCGATAACGTCACAGGTCAGGTCAAAGGTCAGATTTTCACCGTTCACAGGCAATTCAAGAAATGTGCTGTGAAAGCGAGTAAATTGGTAATTTATTGAAAACCATCGATGGTACATTGTTCGTCAAACACATACTTTGCTATCTGAGGTCACTGATACCAGGTCAGGTCACAGCGAGGTCAGGTCACCGGGGGTCACAATATGAATGTGTCGTGTGATACATGTTTTATGGTCCATTTTACATGACAAATGCGATTATGTGGGTTAGGCAGCCTTTGGGGCCAGCCTAGGTCACGTTTTTGTGAAGGTCAGGTCAAGGTCAGGTCAAATTAGGTCAAATTTCAAAGTTGATATTTTTGCATAAAATGGGTATCGATTCGATGCAGTTCGTCACGGGGAGTCTAATGGTGGTATTCGTTTTGCTCTACGAGTTCTAGAATTGCCAAAAATTGAGTTTGAAAATTTGACGTCATCATTTTTGAACAGTTTTTTCGCTATAACTTGGCCAAAAAACGAGGTATCGATCTGAAATTTGGTATGTAGATAGAAGACGGTAGGCACTATCACATATATTCCGGTTTTTTTCGAAACTCAAAAAACTTTTTGGATTTTTTGGCGAATATATCCAAAAAAATGCTTTTTTGATTTTTGGGGGTCAAAACTCAAATATTTTAAAAATTCGAGGTAACAGTTTTGTAGCCCTGTCAATTCTACACCTTTTATGTCTTGATCATTTTTCTGTATCTTCAAAGCTGTAGTCCTGATAGGCCTTCTCGCGAAGGTCTTTTTTCGGTCGAAAATGACAGAACATGACGTCACTCAGACGTCATTTGTGGCCAACCTATCATAGCCTCTGGAAAAATTTTTTGTCACAATGTGTAAAATTGATGCCCGGAGGGGTCCTGAAAGTGTGGTGGCGATATCTCCAGCCGTTTAGGAGATATCGACCGAAAAGGACAGGGGGGGCCGTTTCGGCCCCCCCCCTACGGGGCGCGGGTTAACGGACATGTTAAAGTTTACTCCATAAGAAAGTGTCAAGTATATCGGAGGTAGGAGCGGATCTTAAAAGGTCTGCACTAGTGTGTGTTGTTCGGTTGGTCTGGTGAATGGTCCAAGCTGCAGCGACTTACATTTGAACTTGCGCCGTTTGCTGGCGAACCGGGACGTCTTTCCGGGTGTCCTGGCTGCGAACCGGCCGCCGGGCGGGGGCGAGTACTCCGGAGCGGGCGGGGAAGACTCCGCTTCGGCCGGAGGCAGGTATCCGGGGTCCAGCGCGGGGACCGGCTCCTTCTCCTTTGGCGGAGGCAGGTACTCATCTTTGGGAGGCTCCGCTGACGCCAGTGGCGGAGGCAGGGATTCATCTTTGGGTGGTTCAACTGACGCTGGCGGAGGAAGGTATTCCTCTTTTGGCGGTTCCACTGACGCCGGCGGAGGAATGTATTCCTCTTTTGGCGGTTCCACTGACGCCGGCGGAGGCAAGTATTCATCTTTTGGCGGCTCCACTGACGCCGGCGGAGGCAGGTATTCATCTTTGGGCGGTTGCACTGACGCCGGCGGAGGCAGGTATTCATCTTTTGTCGGTTCCACTGACGCCGGCGGCGGAGGCAGGTATTCGTCTTTTGGCGGTTCCACTGACGCTGGCGGAGGCAGGTATTCATCTTTGGGCGGTTGCACTGACGCCGGCGGCGGCAGATACTGATCCTGTGGCGGTGTTACAGACCTCTGCGTCGTTACGGTCTCTGGCGGCAGGGTCTGCTCGCCCGGGTGTGGGGCCGAGTCAGTTGGAGTCGGCTCAGGCTGAAGGGCTCGCTGCTCGCTCGGAGACCAGTACTCATTAAGAGCTTTGATCAGATGAAGGCGTATCATGTTCCGAAACTTTTCGCGGACAGCGTGCTCGTCTTTTTTCGCCTTGCTTGTAGCTGATGGTGGAGGAAGATATTCATCTTTCGGAGGCGTTGGTGGCGGAGGAAGATACTCATCTTTCGGAGGAGTTGGTGGGGGAAGGTATTCGTCTTTCGGAGGCGTAGGTGGAGGAAGATACTCGTCCTCCGGGGGAGTTGGAGGTGGGGGAAGGTCTTTCGGAGGCGTTGGTGGCGGAGGAAGGTACTCATCCTTGGGGGGCGTTGGTGGCGGAGGAAGGTATTCATCTTTCGGAGGCGTAACTGTTGGTGGAGGAAGATATTCGTCCTGCGGAGGCGTTGGAGGAGGAAGGTATTCGTCCTGCGGAGGCGTTGGAGGAGGAAGATATTCGTTCTTCGGAGGCGTTGGAGATGGTGCCGGCGGCGGGGGAAGGTATTCATTTGTAGGTGGTGTTAGTGACGGAAGAACGTTCAACGCCTTGGACCGGAGCAGAGTTTTGCCCAGCGCGTGCTGTTTGGGGTCTGGCAGCTGCTGTCTGACGGCTCGGAGGAACTCCTGGCCGGTCAGTTTCGGTACGCGGATGACGCCGTCCTGCGGCTGTCCGCCGGCCGGCGGCGGGGTCGTGCCGTCCCCGTCCCGCGGTATGAAGTAGTCGAGGAAGGAGGGCTCTCTGGCGGTGGGTCGGGCCGGCGGCTCGGCGGCGGCAGGGGCGGGTGCCGGCGGCTCTGGAGGAGGCGCGGCCGCGGACTGGGCGGGTGCCGGCGGCGGCCCGATCAGGGTGGTGGAGGCGGGCGTCTGCAGCTGCCCTGCGTCCGGCAGCTGCCGGCGCAGCAGCTGCAGCTGGTTCAGCAGGTGAGGCGGCGGTCTGGCGTACACAACTCCCGGCGGCGGCCTGCCAAACAAAAACAGCACAGCACAGCCTCAGAGACAATGCCGAGATCCAGAAACCAGACTCGCAGCTGAATGACATTTTTACCAGCTACATACCTGTAAAAGAGTTTTAAAACCTGCTTAGCTCCGAAACTCAAAGCATAGATAAGAGTCTACAAAAGTCATCAGCGAGCTTGCCTGACAATATTTTTGCACCATGGACCATTGCCTCACATCCGGGAAACTCTGCTACTAAACCGCGACCATCCCCGCGATTTGGGCGAGACATGCAGCTGATAGGTACGGCTGCCACACTTTCACAACCGTGCACGATTTGATGCACGTCTTCCATGGTGCTTGATGAGTATTTAATCGTGTTCACCTTTTTTAACCGTGCTTTCTACTTTGTGGGCCCTAAAGAGGAATTAATGGAACAATGTGTCCACCCATGCAGCTGTGCGGCCACTAGTTGAAGCTGTGACTTGTTTGGGCAGCCTAGCTCTCCAGTACCGGAAGATTCAAGACTTCCGGACTGACTCACCGCTGAGTATGACGTGCCACCTTTTAGGTGTGTTTTGTCATTCATCTCCCTCCAGGATTTGAGAAAATGTCATGCTCAGAAGTCATGCTGTCAGAAGCTTGCCCTTACAGCAGATCTTCAAACATGCTAACCATTTTTAGTCTGTGATTAGTGAATAAAGGTAGGTATTTAATATATTTAAGATTTTTCGTTATAAATTTAAGTATGTAGAAAGTGGTAGACACTAGCCAGCACTATTACTAGAAGCATGCTAAAAGTTATGCGACGACCTCAAAGGTAGCCAACGGTTCTTTTGGCAATGACTGATAAAGTCATTTTATATGTGAGCGCCTACATGAAACTATACCGTCGATGGGACATCTCCACAGTCCATTTTAGTCAGTTCTCAACAATTAGTTCTCAGTCATTGTAACCGCCTGCTACATAAAATATCTCAGTTTTACCGATGTACTGATTTTCGGGCTTAGGGCATAGTTTTTAACTTCAGAACAGGCCAGCTCAACACAACAGAAACATGCTAGGATATTCCGGCAACCCCACCTCAACCCTACCTCGACAAAACAGTCGCAGATAATGAGCTATGCGACCCCTGAGAGGCTGCGACTGGTGAATACGGTGACAGAGAAGCTCAGGAAATTTTAGCTGTGTAGGCATCTGCATGTCTACATCTATAATTCAGTCATTTGTTGCGCCTTTTTCCCCCGTAGCACATAGTCAGCGGGGGGAGTTCGTGACGGCGCACAGTGCACACCGGCGGAGCACGGACGGGCGCCGCCGGACGCTGCGCCGGCTGCAAAAATGGCACTTTCTCGCGCCCTCGCCATAGTGAGGCCCGTGGGCCCCAATGAGCCATCGGTCGGTAATTCAGGCTGAATGTGTGAGCAGGTGAAAGTGATACCTACTATTGGTGTTAGCGCCGCTGTGGGCTGGTGTTGGCGACTTGTGCGGCCTGGGCTCCGTGCCGTCACCGCCGACCGCCGCCGCTGCACGCCAGGACTGACGTGTGGACTCAGTCGGAGCCGAACGTCAGGTCCGAGTCCGCTGTCCGGAACGTCAGGGCCGCTGTCCGGAACGTCAGGTCCGCTGTCCGCTGTCAGGGGGCGTCCCTGTCTGCTGTCCCGGAACGTCAGGTCCGCTGTCAGGGAACGTCAGGTCCATTGTCAGGTCCCTGTCCGCAGTCCTGGGACGTCAGGTCCACTGCCCAGGCACGTCACTCATATTAAACTGTAAACGTCAGGTCCTCTGTCAGGGGACGTCCCTGTCCGCTGTCAGGGGACGTCACTATCATACTGGATTACACGTCAGGTCCTCTGTCAGGGAATGCAACTGTACGCTGTCAGGGGACGTCACTGTCATACTGGGGTACACGCCAGGTCCGCTGTCAGGGCACGTCACTGTCATAAAGTAAACGTCAGGTCCGCTGTCAGGGGACGTCACTGTCACTGGCCCTCTGATGAAAGAGCGTCACTGTCAGGTTACAGGTACCTATGTACTGCGGACAGAGGAACAGAAGAGTGGAACCGCACCTGCTGTGCGACCATGTGCTCATAGCTGAGCGTAAACACCTTCCGGGATACCAATACGGATACACATACGGTAGTCCCTACACGGACACGGTCTTACGACTTCCGCGCGGTTCCACGGTCCGCGCCGCTGACGGCTCCAGTATCACCTCCCGACCGAGAGAAAACACCATTGGTGTTTTCCAGGGAGGTAGTCTCAGTTGTGCCTTGTACATGCTTTTTGCTAACGATCTCAGTCTGCACATGCCCGACGGAGTCACCATAGTACAGTTTGCAGATGACACTCAAATTTTGGTCACTGGAAAGAAACGGGATTTGGATTGTATCATTTCACGCACTGAGGCCGCACTCGACGCCGCCTACCGATGGTTTTGCCACAATGGCATGAAAGTTAACGCCGCCAAAACACAGATGCTGGTGTTGGGCACACCAGCAATGTTGCGTGGACTCCCGCCCGTCACTGTCAACTTTTGTGGTTCAACTGTAGTCGATGCAGGGACGGTGAAGAACCTCGGACTTTATCTCGACCGCCATCTGAACTATCAAGCTCACATCACCGCCATGGCATCAAAATGCACAGGAATTTTAATCGCTCTCAGTCATGCCCGCCACGTGATGCCAGCAAACACACGTAAGGTAGTTGTTCAAGCCCTAGTCATATCGATCGTGCGGTATTGTATAAGCGTGTATGGGTCGTGCGGTGTGACCCAGATGGCTCGTGTCCAGAAAATTCTCAATTTCTGTGCCAGAGTCGTCAGTGGCCGTAGACGCAGCGACCACATCTCTGACGTCATACAGCAGCTCGGCTGGCTGCGGGCAGACGAATTAGCCGAGTACCACACTATCTGCGCAGTCCACCGAGCCATCACATCGGGTACTCCTGAACATATCAGTGATACCATCGGTCCTGTAGCCCGCGACATACACGACCACAACACCCGAAACGCAGGGCTGATAACACAGCCACGGGCCCGAACAGAGACGGGGAGACGTCGACTATGTATTAGAGGAGTCGCGATGTTAAACGGTGCCGAGTTGAGCCCGTATATACCAGCGTTTCGCGCCAATGTGAAGCGTGTGATCATGTCGAGACGCCGAGTAGCTGTCTGAACCTGTTCCAGTCGCACGCTTGTTTGTGTTTGCCAGTGATATCTATGCCTACTCGTACTGTCTATATGTTCCCCGTTTTATCTGGTTTTACGTGTCTGGTGAAAAGCCACTTTTATTGTGGATCCTAGATGAATACACATCTGTATCTGTATCTGTATCTGTTACGGATATTGCAGCCGCAGCTACCCACGCTCAACGTATTGCCAAATAGTCATTGCGCACATGCTTTAGGTACATAAAAATGCTTGTGCAATCATGGCAGTAAGGACCATTTAACCGAAGACCAAAGATGTCAATAGTGTTTCAGCAGTCAGCACGCGATTCTCTAGAACCGCCGTTCGCTCCTGAGTCCAACTCCTGATTCTGGAGATGGCAAAACAACTCTGCGCAATAGCCTGTTCCCACAGCACCATATTTAGCCCGCTTAGAAAAAGGAAGCCGACATATTTAATGTCACCGGGTGCGGTGCAAAAGGCAATGCACGCAATGCGGGGGTCTGTTTCGTCTTTGACTACACGGTTACCTCATTAGTCGTCTGATTACCAATGGTCCGATGTGGACACGGCGCTGTGACCCGTGTCAACACGCGGTCCGTTGGGTAAGTGACCGCCGGGTGGCTCTAATTGGCGCCGGTGCCGACCCGTACCGGTTGGTCGGGTGGGCAACACACCGGCCCGTACCGGCACGCGGGCTATGGGCGGGTGTCTGTGCGGTGGCGCAGGCTACAAACGACGCCGTGCCTTCGTCAGGAGCTGCCGAATGCCGTCCACCAGGTCAGCCTGTCGGCCGGCGATAGACACTGCTGACTAAGCACCGATCAATGTGGTCACATTGGTGTGAAAAGTCGCCGTGCTGGGCCAGTAGCTGGTGGTGTGCGTGCCTTCATTTTCCACAAGTAAACATCATGGTGCTTCGTTCGTAATGAAAGTATTAATTATCAGCTGGCAATTAAAAAAAAAAACAAGTTAGTAGGAAGAAAATTATTTTAGAAGGCCCAGTGGCCAGTACGTAGGTATAACAGCAAAACTCATGGGTACAAAGTGTGTAAAAAGAAGAAATGAAAGCAGTTTTTCCGTCATAATTTCAAGTATGTAACCTTGATTGATAACTAATAGAGGTCTGAGGCCGAACGAAAGCGGTGCTTGATTATATATGTACTGGACTGTGGGTAGGTAAGGGTGAGTAAGGGTGAGTAACTCATGTCATAACCATCCTTATTTCCAACAACAGTGCTAATCGAGCTGCGATTTCTTAAGAATTAATACTGCGGCGCAATAAGCGGATCCTTAGAGGGTTACGATGCTTGTCTCGATAATATATTGCTGTTCCGAGAGCGTCGAAATATTGCTTTCCAATAGCATGCAAAAATCGAAAGATTCCCAGCAAGAGACCTGATAACCAAGAGCAGCTGGTGACACCCGCTCCCTCCCCCCCCCCCGTACTGACCTGACCAGGAAGGCCAGCTGGTGCCCCCCCCCCCCCTGGTACTGACCTGACCAGGAAGGGCAGCTGTCCCCTCCCCCCTCCCGCCGGTACTGACCTGACTAGGAAGGGCAGCTGTCCCCCCCCCCCTCCGGTACTGACCTGACCAGGAAGGGCAGCTGGTGGCGGGCCACCCGGGTGCTGAAGTTGGCCGGCAGCACCATGCCGGCAGGGAGCGGCGGGCGCAGCGCCAGCAGCGGCGAGCTGCCGTTGGCGGCGCCGCGCAGCGCCGGCGGCAGCGGCAGCAGCAGCGGCACGCTCAGGTTGGCGGCCGGCAGCGGCGGCAGCGGCGGCAGCGCGCCGCTAAAGTTGGCCGCCGGCCGGACGCCGGGCAGCAGCGGCAGGAAGACGGGCCGCCGCAGCCGCCTCAGCGGCGTCAGGCGGTCCCCGAACGCCAGCGGGCCGTGGGCGGGCCCGCCCCCGCCCCCGGCCCCGCCCGGCTCTCCCAGCTTGGCGGCGCTGCAGGCCGCCAGCAGGCTGAACAGCACGGCCACCGACGGCGCCATCCTGTCGGGGAGCAGCGGCCGTCAGCGGTGGCACGGAGCCGGGGGTCCGGCGGTCAGCAGTGGCACGGGGCTGGGGTTTTTGCCGGGGGGGGGGGGGATTGGAACTTCAGCGGCGACACGGAGCTGATGGTTCTGCCGGGGACTGTCAGGGGCGGCACGGAGCCGGGGGTCCTGCAGTCCGCGGTGGCAAGCAGATGAGAGCCCGGCACATTGTTGACTATGGAGAGGGACCCAAGTAGCGATCTAACATTGAATATCCTGGGTCTGAAATTTTCACAACCTGTGTTAAAAACATGCTTAGCTTGGGGTGAAGACTGAAGAACAAAAACACCACGAATAGACGCAGGTTATGTTGATACTAAAACTACATCTTGCGACGCGCACCTATGATGGACCTTTGCGGATATTCACGCAAAATGTGTGCTGACTGTTGTGAGGGTTTTCTGGCGATGGTGTTTCCATCTGTTGTTTTCCCCTCCATCCGCGGCAGAGCCGCGGTGTAGCTTCAGCTCTGGAGGAAAGAGACTTCTCCTGGCGCAGTTGCGACGGTATCTGCGGTTGCGGGCTCGACGGCGATGGCGGTTACCCGGGCGACCACCTTGCGCCTCCCCGCCGCCGTCGGTCACGGCGGGGGGCGCGGCCCGGTCGCTAATCATTCAGCAGGCCGAGCCGCGCGACGCGCGGCTCCAGGCCTGCCGATGGGCGTAACGCTGCCCCCAGAGCGGAAGAGTCGGGAGGGTGTCCACGTCGGTGATGAGTCCGCAACGGGTGGTGAGGTCGGCGCGACGACACGACGGCAGCCAGATGGGTGGCCGCCGCCAGGAGCCCCCACGGAGAGGGCGCTTTGGAGACCGTTTTGCTCCGGGCCGGGGGAACCGGTCCGGTGCCGACGTCGGGCTGACCCTCCGTCGACTCTGCTGCCCACCGCGAAGAGGCGGCCTCCACCAGGCAGCGGTGTTTCCATCTCGCACTGTATGTAGTTCGGAGCGGCCGTTGGGGTTCCGGTTCTCCCACGCGGTCCTGCATCTTCCCCGGCGCGGCTCTATCGCCGGCGCGATCAGCACCGCCCTGCCTGACCGTGGCGGACCGCCGCGCCGATCCCGCGCGTCAGCACACCGTGCAAAGTCCCAGCGAGCGCCGATGGTGAGCCGGGCGCGTGACCTGTGGTCAGCAACGCCTCCTCCTATAGGAGGTGGTATAAGGTGGTACGGTGGCACGGCCAGGCACCGGCGGGGGCGGCTGATCACACTGACACGGTGTCAGACTAACACACTGGCACGGTGTCAGACTCGGGCAGACGACCACACTGACACCGCTCGCATGGACCGACACAGGACTCGTAAACTGACTGTAACGGTCTGTGCCGTAACAGGAATTTCGGGAAACATGGATGTCCTTGACTCAGCGACTGCGCCAACGACTGGATTGATCAACCTGCAAACAGCAGGCAGAGAAGCAAACTAAGAACTTTCATGCTGCATTTGTCTGAGCTTTTACTACGCAACATAGTTTTATATTATATCATTGATTTGATACTATCTGAAAAGTATAGAATAGCTAATATTTAAAATTGAAAATGCGTCTGGAATTCATCCAGGCATGTTTGCTCAAACGCTATCATCAAATGCATGCTGCAAGTGCCAGCGCCGCGGTACGTGACGGCGGTCACTGGTATGCCATCAGTTCCAGTGAATTTCGTGCCGGGCTCCGTGCACAAGGCCTCTACCACGCCTTTGAATGTACGAAAAGGGCGGGTCGAACAAATGCTGAAGCGTCCGGCGTTCCTTTTTTTGTGGCAACTGACGGCCATACCGTAGACGGCCGCGCCTTCAGACGGTGCTGGACGGCACTGTGGACGGTGCCACTGCACTGTGGACGGTATCACTGCACTGTGGACGGTACCACTGTACTGTGGACGGTACCACCGCACTGTGGACGGTACCACCGCACTGTGGACGGTACCACTGCAATGTGGACGGTGCCACTGCACAGTGGACAAATCCACTGCACTGTGGACGGTACCACTGCACTGTGGATTGACGGTATATCACTGCACTTTGGACGGACGGTATACCATACCACTGCACTGTGGACAGCCGCTACCCATGTTGTGGTCACACCTAGAGATTGCAATCCCGGGATGGGGATCCCGGGATCCCGGCGGGATTTTAATCCCGATCCCGATCCCGAAATTCCGCCAATCCCGGGATCCCGAAAAGAATCAGTTTTCACCTTAAAAAGAATGCAGCCGCTGCACGAGTCTTGTTTACACTGTTTATTGTGCTGCGTGACATAAAGCAGATAAACTATTTAGCTGGCACCCCGTATTGGTCTTCCACAATCGACCGTGTTGGTAGCTCTCGGGTATCACCCACAGCGGTTAAGCCGCTTAAATACGTACGAAAAAAGGTCCCGAAATCCAAAAAAATGCAGCATCAGCGCTGCAACATCTTTATCAGGATCACAGATCGTTCAGCGATTCTGACTTGCCCGTCCGTGGCCGGAACAAAGGAGGTCATCAAGACAGTCTTTGAGCTCGTGTCGCAGAAAGATGTCACAGATGTCACGCAAGTGACGGCAGAGCTCACTGATTCAGACGTTGAATACGGTAGAGTGGAGCTCTCCCAGTCAGTGACTCTGCTCTCAAAGCGACTTACGAGCAAATTCTGAGAGACATAAGTGATGAAAGCGGAACCGGGAGGAGGTGAAGTGACCAAGCAACGTCTTGAAAACATTGTGAAATAGGGAGCTGCCAAATTTGGCGTACACTGGTTGCGAGTTTTTAAGTAGACCAACATGGCAATGGCTTAAAACTGTCGCACTAGCTACGAGTAGCGTAGACGAAGAGTGAGTGAGGCGTGGATGTGCTGGAACCTGTCTAGTAAACGATCTGGTCGACGCACAGTTTTATGAAGGCCAATTGGGAATAAATGCTAATGCTAATCAAATCGAAACGTTTTATTCGCAAATTCAATCGTTTTTAATGCAAATAACATGGTCTAAGGATGGCTTTTGGTTGCCTCTTTGTTTGTGGTAAGCTTAAAGACGCAAAATATGTCAGTAGGAAATCACTCTTACGACATTTAGTGACAATGCCGGGATCCCGGGATCCCGGGATCCCGAAATAAAAACTTTCGGGATCCCGGGATTGGCAAAACGTTCCGGGATTGCAATCTCTAGTCACACCGTGCGCTAGTTGGTACAGATACTGCCCTAATCATGCCCCTAAATGTGATACTGCTCCAAAATCATGATACTGCGACACGTGTCAGTCTACAGGCTGAAACAGACTTTTCCGCAGCCAAGAAATCGCGTGGCGCGTGGCAGGAAATCACCCATTCAGATCTCCTCCTCCTCTTCTTCCGTTTTTCGCAAATATCTCGCGCAAAAAGCGTCCGATCGTGAAGAAACTTTCAGTGACTTCGAATTAGTCAATTTTACAGCTATCCTAAGAAATGCATGACCCTGACCTAAACGACCTCTGAGTGACCTGTTCTTCGAGACCATGTCATAGGCTGGTATCGTGATTCGCCGTATGTCAGCACACATCATCCGCGCGTATCCAGTCTTTTTGCGGTTTTAAACGTTCAAACATGTGAAATTACGTTTGTCCCATGCATTAGGGTGGGTATCAAGGTCGCTTGAAGGTCAGATCAAGGCCATTGACCTTACTTGGTACATGTTTCTAAGGTAGTTTGGGAGCTGATTTCGAATTTAGCACCCATTTGAACAATCCAGAAGAAGTGTTTGTGCCTATACAGCATGTTATGAAGCTGTCTGTAGTGGTTTACAGTGGTACTTTGGAATGCTGGTGATCTGCTGATCTGCTGGCTATGATAGCCAGCAGATCACCTGACCTGACCTGATCTGACCCGACCTACCCCAAATCCATGATGATATGTTACAGGGAGTTCCAGAAATTTGTGAGTTTGCAAACTCACTAGGGAGTTTGCAATTTCAGTAGGGAGCTTGCAAACTCACTGACCGGTCAGAAAGTTTTAACCCGCGCGGGGCTGGGGTCTCCAGCCGAACGCGCGGAGCTGGGGGGGGGGGGTAAATTTTACCCCCCTGTTATCTCCCGAACTAATGGTCCGATTTGGAAAATTCAAACGCCAATCGAAAGCTCTCATCACGAACTACTAAAAACATGTACTTAATTTAAAGTTTGAGGTCAAGGTCAAGGTCAGGTCAAGGGTACAAATTGCAAGTTCCTACAGTATCGGCCTTGCACCGTAGTTGCCGAAGAATGGAGTCATGGACTGAGACTGATCGCCCAAAACGTGTTCTTAGGCTATCAAGACAATATTCGTTGCATACAATACCATTCAGAGGTCAAGGTCAAGGTCAGGTCAGGTCAGGTCAGGTCACCAAAAAACAAAATATAGAAAAGGGCATGTGCGACACATGTTTTATGGGTCATTTTACTCATAGAATTCAATAGGCACACTCAATAAGTGATATGGACCACCTCTGGATGAATTTCAGGTCGAGTTCAGGTCAAGGTCAGGTCAAGTGAGGTCAAATTTTGAAGTTGGTTGTTAAGGCCTAAAAAGGTGTCTATCTGATGCAGTTTTTCACGGCGAATCGAATGGTGCTATTTTTGTTTCCGTACGAGGTCTAGAACTTCCAAAAAAGTCATTTTTCAAAAAATTTGTGTGTCGTGACGTCATAAAATTTTGAATAACTCCCACATTTTTGAACCGATTCTTCTAAAATTTGGTATGTTGGTGCACATAGACCACTTCTCTGACATATATTCCGGTTTTT